ACAACTTATATTGCGAATATTGCATTCAAAAATGCAAATACCAATCTTCCTTTTAAATTTTGCAAGTATCGCCAACCGACGAACAACTCTGAAACTATACTCTGAAACTATACTCTGAAACTATACTCTGAAACTATATTCTGAAAGCAATAAATAAATTCATAATAACTTATTTAACGATTTCCTTTTGGGTTCATGTCAATACTTTCGCCTACCTTACTATAGTGTTTGCGGGTTGTAATAGTCGTTAGGAGAGGTTGATATTTGAAGGGGTGGGGAGGGGGAGTCATAGATTTGTTGTGAAAATTAGAGATGAATCATTCCTATAATATGGCAGGGGACAGGGCTGTACTGAACAACGAAGACGTAAGGGGAGGGGGTGCATATGAAATAAACTTTTTTACCATAAAAATCTCACCAAAGTAGGGCTTTTTTTATTTAAAAACCAAATAGCAGTTTTAACCGACCGAGTCTCAAGTTTTCTAAATTACCGACAAAACCAACAGAATGTCGTAACCCTGGGAAGGTGCCCATACTCACGTCGGTACGGCCTTGGCAGGAGAGATTATTTTTGATGTGCCATTGTTATTGCACACTACCTATAGGAAGCAGCACATAAAAAATATAAGTTAAATGTTCAATAAGCATACAAAATTTGATTTAATTGACTAAAGGGCATTATTTGTATATTCCATGCTGATTGGGTGTTAATAAACAGTTGCAACAACTTCATAGGCAGTTGTCTCAAAGCTGGGAAAAAATAAAAATAATCGAATTTCGCTTAAAACATTTCTTTTAAACAACAGTTTAGTTTGATTGGGCTCTAGGATTCACAACTAGTAAAGTGTTTAATTACGATAAAATAATATTTATCGCCTTAATAATGCTTCCTCGTGTGTAAAATTTTTATGCGAAAGATTATTTCCTTTTTCAAGCACTAAATCTTGCTTTAGTCGACTAAATTTAGTTACACTAAATATTTAGTTGACTAATTTGAGTTAATTAAAAAGTTAGTCGACTAATTTTAGTTAGCTAAAAAGTTAGTTGGGTAATTTTAGTTAGCTAGAAAGTTAGTCAGGTAATTTTAGTTAACTAGAAAGTTAGTCGGGTAATTTTAGTTAACTAAAAAGTTAGTCGGGTAATTTTAGTTAACTAAAAAGTTAGTTGGGTAATTTTAGTTAACTAAAAAGTTAGTCGACTAATTAATTTTAGTTAACTAAATAATTTTAGTTAACTAATAAGTTAGTCGACTAATTTTAGTTAACTAAAAAGTTAGTTAACTAATTTTAGTGAGACTAAAACTAACCTTAACTCCCACCCCTATAAATTACCTTGCACCAATAGCAGAAACCCCAACAGATTCCCTTTTGCTCTAAATACTGCAATTACTACTACCTATCAGCAATCCTTTATTCAAAAGTACCTACGCATTCTTCGTGATGGTGTCAATGACCTCTACCTCCCACGAAACATTCGCAGCTCCGCTGCTTTTTCAACACATAAATGATCAATTCTTTTTTTGCGTTCTTAGCTAACTTTCACTCATTATTTAACAATAGATAAAATTGTACAATTCATTGTTTGTAATGCTATCAGTTTTAAATAAAGATTTATAAAAATAAAAAATAAAATATATATATATATTTTATTAATCAATTATTTTTACTTACTACAAGCAATAGAATTATGATTTTTTTTTTAATTTTTTATTAATATTATTATATTTATTATAATATTATTGTATGATAGGCACGGACTGGGGCTTCAAATCCTAGCGGGAAGGGAAGAGGGAGGGGCGCTACAAGATCGGGATAGGGGTAGAAAATAGGCTAGTATTTATATAAAGATCTTTTTAATTTGAATATGAATAGGTAAAATAATGTTACACTTTCAAAATTCAAAGTTCATTCAGGCTTACAATATAATTCAATATGTCATTTTACTTATGTATAAAATATACATGATAATTATGTAGACAATGATAATAATAATAATAATAATAATAATAATAATAATAATAATAATAATAATAATAATAATGATAATAATAATAATAGCAATAATTACAATAATAATAATAATAACAATAATAACAATAATAATAATAACATGATGAATTTATTATGATGAATAAATAATAAACCTCTTTTTAAATCATTTAAGATAAAAAAAAAAAATCAAAATAAACCCTGTGGTTTATCTGGTATTTATACTGTAACTGACTACAATCTCCTAATGTAATTTATAGAAGTAACATTTTTGATAACTCTACGGAATCCTTACACAAATAGCTAATTACGTCCTTAACTGCAATTGAATCCAAAATGTCCTTCTCGGTCGACATCAACATAAATGTTTCAAGCTTGTCGTTACATAATAAGAATTGCAGCCTAGTTTTGACAATTTTTAATTTACTAAATGCCCGTTCACAGCTCATTTATGAGAATGAAACTGTTAATAGATATTCGTAAGCCAGAAACAGATTTGAATAAGCAGTTGCATTCAACAAATATTTGTATAAAATACTATAGCAACATTTTAAACATTTTTCACAAGACCCTACACAACCCTCAAAGATCTAAAAATCTCTATCATTCTCATTTTCAGTTGCTTTTGTTGAAGTATCCAACTCTGAGACTGAATTCGATTTTTCTGAATCTTCGTCACTAGGACTCACTGTAAGTTCATCTTACAAGTTATGCAATTCAGATCTCAATCTTTCAGAACAAAGATTAGTTAGTTGAGAAATTTTTCCAAGACTGTTTTCTGGAATACCATTTTCAACAGTTTCTTTATAACGTCTGGGGTCTAAACACGCAGTGTCTCTAATGATGTCCCTGTTTCAATTCTGTTTCAACTTCTGAATCAAGTTCACTAGCATCTAGGAGGGTGTTGATTTCTTTAACAAATACAATTTTCTTGGAATGGACATCTTTGAACGATATTGTCTGCAGTTCTTGTTTTGCTGACTCTACCATATTCCAAACATTTAAATAATCCAGACCTCTTGTTTGCAAATATTCGGATGCTTGTCGCAAAACGGTGTACACACGTAGATGAAAGGCTGCAAGAAACACATCGAATCGACACCTTTTGTCATGCAGTGCTGTGTCTTCGAATGTTGATTTTGCATCGAATCTTGAAGACATCCTAATACAATTAAAAACTTGCAAAAGAGCATAAAACGATCCCACTTGTGGAGCATCATAAGTTCCAAAATTCGTTCAAGTGCCATCTGCTTCGACCACCAACGTGTTTCACCAATTTTTTGCAGTCTTTTCAATTTCGCAGATCCAACTCCTTGTCCAATGTGATTATCCGTCCAAACGTTCATTCGTTTGCAGAGATTACCTCTGTATGGAAGAGCTTGCTTCCCAATAAGAATAACTGCTGCAAAAATTTGTTTAAATACTTCGATGTTTTTCAATACTTGCACTTTCTGCTTTTCCACTATACCTTTGTTGATTAAGGAGCTTATATCTTTCTCTATTGTACAACTTAATAGTGCAATTAAAGCAGCGTTATGTGATTTAGATTCTTCATGGTCTTTTATTCTTTGGTATATACGGAAGAACTTTTTAAATCCAAGAGTAAAGCTAGAATCTTCTTTCGAAAATGCCATGCATGCAATGCAGTCAAGTGCCACGATTTGATTGTCTTCAACTCTTGCGGTTATCCAACGTCTTTGTACATACTTATTATCTGATATCGATCTTTGGTACACTTTTTTTAGATCATACGGTAAATGCTTTACATTTGTATGGTTTGGCTGAATCATGTTAATATTTACTAATGCTAGTCTTTTGTTACGCTGTGCACTGTCAGGAAGCCGTTTATAAATCAATTTTGTTGTTTCGGTACACTGATGTTTATGGTTGAGAATACTTGAGTTAGCATCATCTTTTGTTAGTTCTATATACACATCATTGATAATATGTTCATGATTAAATAGCAGTTTGCGTTGTTCAGGATCACGGCCTGATTAAGGCAAATCACGCTTGCTCTTTTCTTGTCTTCTTTTGGCACCGCTAGACTTTTTCCTAGACTTACATAATGTTGAGTCAGATTTTGTAGCGGCCATCTTATGTTCATTAGACACTGAAGAGTTTGCTTGCTGGGAATTTTCGAACAAACTTTCCATAGCAACCTGCACAATGTACAATGCAATCACTGTTGTAACATAGATAGGGGAAACTGGGGTAAAATGGGGTACTTAAGAATGAAACCCTATAAAAGTCACAAAAATAAATAAAATGATTACAAATAAATGTTGAAACATCAGAATACAACATAGACAAGATTGTAACAAAACAGCAAGTCAAAAGAATGTAAATTAATTGATTTATTACATTTTTTTAAAAATAACATAAAAACCCCATTTTACCCCAAGCATGAGGCAAAACGGGGTAATGGATGGGGCAAAATGGGGTCAAAGGAGGAACTCAAACAAATATGATAAATCAATCACTGCTAGTACAAATATAATCAATCACTGCTAGTACAAATATAATCAATCACTGCTAGTACATAGCTCACACTAAAAGTAAGGTTTTTTGTTTCTTTCATCAATGCCTGCACAAGAATAATGGGCCCATCTGTGGCACTCAGTACATGAGACCCAACTCTCTGTGCTGCTGGAATAAAGATCCTCACAATAGAGACATGGTGTGTCTTCATTTTTTTTTTTTTTTTTTTTTAAATTTTTTAAGTTAACTAAGGTGCCCTAAGACGTCCTTACGGTCTTATCACAGAGCACCGCGGAAGAGCATTTAATAGGAAGTTCACGCCTCCTTCCCAACTGATGTCGCAAAACTTGCCCAGAGGTGGGGTTTGAACCACGGATCTTACGCTTCTAAGGCAAGTGCGCTACCACTGCGCCACGGCTGCATTTGATTTTTTGTCAGATTTGTTTTTCTTTGGATTCTTTTTTTCTTTGGCTTCCATTAATGATCTTTTATAAGGCGAAGAAGTCAAAATAGCTGTTTTTCCTCTTTGTTTAGAAATACGTTTTCTTTGGGCCTGTTTTGGGTTGGGCAGCAAATGACGTGGCGAGATTGCAAAGCTTGAAGGTACAGTGGTTGATGTGCTAGGCCTACATGAAGTTGAAGGTTCAGTGGCGGATGTGCTACCGGTACATGAAGTGGAAGGTTCACACCCCATTTTACCCCAACATAGGAGGCATAATAAAACTGTTCGAAAAAACAAAGCAGAGCAAAGCTCATGAATATATAAGAGTCTTAATTACTTAATATATAATATCATTCAGGAACAATAATATGTTTAATTCAAAGCTTTAATTACAAAGAAGCTGCTTCTTAAAATATAATGTTAAAAAATAAGATGAAAAAGTTGACAAAATTGTATCTACCTCTCAACGACGATACTTGAAGAAAACGTGAACAAAAGTAAAAGATGGCGACGTCTCTTCTCGCGATATTTCAAATCCAATATTTTTTTCGATGCTCTTAGGCTCTGAATGGGGTGTATTTTCAAAACCCCATTTTGCCCCACTACCCCATTTTATCCCAGTTTCCCCTACATTTAATGACTATATGAAACAGTAAAATCCTGTTAACTCTGACTCTCAAGGAAGGGCCGTAACGTGATTTTTAGGGTATTCGTTTTGGAAAAAAAAAGGCATTTTAGAGTAAGTAAACTTACCTTTTTCTCAATTTTTACATCAAAATTTGTACTGACAATCTTTTGTCAAAAGGTTTACACAGCTATACCCCAAATCCTGATGAGACTTTTAATCGAATAATCTGGAAATAATGCCCCAAAACGCATTTTGTTTCAAAAAGTGTTTTCAAACTTTTAGAGTTAGTTGTTTTCTCAGCAGTTATATCTTTTAATAGATGTTACGTTTCGCATAACGAAACTTTTCAACAACTTGGATTTCATTGTGGAAAATATTTCCTTCTCGGTGCAGTTAAAAAAGACAACAATCGCATCATTCATATGGAAAGGAAAAAAAAAAGAAGTAACAAAATCAACGAGGAAAAATTGAGAGGTATAAGAAAAGGACTTAGCAATGATTCCTATGTGTCTGGAAATTTTTTAAGATATATATTGTTAAAGTTGTTTTATTTTGTTTTCTTGCGTTTTCTCTGTTAACAGATTTTTAAACTTTAAACAAAAATATCTTATAGTTAGCTATTGTCGAGATATTGACATTGGCAGTACAAATTTTACATAAAAATTAAAAATTATTTTTTAAAGTGCAGCCATTTTGATTCTGTAAAAGTTCTGGTGGTGATTCTGGTCAAATCCCTTAATCAACATGTTGTTAACCTTGTTTAAAAATGTAGTTAAAATTGCATTTTTTTTGCTGACTTAGCATGTTTTCGAGTATAATTATACTTTTTATTATATTTACTCTAAATAATGTTATAATACACACAGTTTAAAAAAAAAATTGGATCAAAATTAAATAAATTGACTGTTTTAATTTTTATGAGCTAGTACCACCTTAACGGGATTCTACTGAATATATATACACACACTGGCGTAATAAAAGTCATTTTTTACTTTTAAGTCCATTTTTAAATTGTTGTCTTTAAAAGGTTTTTTTTAGATATTTTTATTTTATTTTTTAGTCTTCTTTAGATTTCTACGTTGATGCAAAAAAGCATTATAAATAAAATGTTGTAAAAAATAAATTAATCCACTTATCTTAACAAAAAAAACGCGATTTTAAATTTGAACGATCGCGAATATTTAAAAACATTAAATTTTAAAACAATTATATATTTTACTTTAAAAGATAATTAGAGCAAGATTTTTCATTGTTCTTTGTAGCGTCATCCGTGCATTAAGTTCCCTTGGAATTCCCATCGAAAAGAAGCAATTTAATAATTTAATTTAAATAAAAGCACACAATTTTGCATAAAATACCTGTTATATTTTTAAAAAACATAACAGGAGTTTTCCTCGCATATAACGGGTAATTGCCATTAAGTTTAATACTTAACATGTATGAAAATAACATAACGGTTTTAGCGTTATGTTTAGTCATAGCAAAATTTCCTTAAACATAACGGTTATGTAACGCTAATTTACCGTTATGTGCGAGGAAAACTCCCGTTATATAACGGGTAATTACCCGTTATGTTACCGTTATGTAAAATGAAAATTATCTTTTTAAAGAAACGCATAATTCTGCATGATTATTCGCAGAAAGCACTTAACAAAAAAACATTTTTTTGTCAATAAAAGTTGTAATAAGAAAATAAAAATTATGCAGTTTCATATCATAATATATTTATATTATATTATTTATAATAATCATGAAAATTATTTACAAAATAATTGAATAAATTATTTACAAAATAATTGAATAAAATAACTTATTAACATTTATAAATTCAAAAGTAATTTGCATTGCTTTGCAATGATTGCAGAGGAAAAATGCTTTTTTTAGATAATAAGCCAATTGCAAAAAGTCTCAAATATCTTGCTAACATCCCAGAAGCCGCCCAAAAAAAGAATATGTCAAATCTAGCAAATAGTAAACAACCATCAAAACAACCACTATATGTACTGATCAAGGGCTGAACATCCATTTCATAACTTGTGGACCATTTAAGCTTTGGCATAAGTATTCATGTAATGAATCACACTAAAATTTTATAAATAAAAAATAATTATCACAATCGTAAAATATAAAATTATTATTAATACATTAAATGGAAAAAAGAAAAAAGAATGAAAACCATTGCAATACAAAATATGCTTACCTAGTTAAAATATCAGCAATATTACAAGCAAGAACAATTTTCTTTCCCCAAGAAATTTGACAACAACAGCCTTTATTATTTTCAACTATTAACTATTGTAGAAATAAGTAAAGCAGTTATTATTAGTTTATACTACGTTAATTTTACAAATAGTATATTTAACATTTTTTAATACTTGCAATACAAAATTAATGTTAAAAACAGTAATAATAAACAGACAGGTCAGACAGTAAGAGGTAAACACCATTATTACACAAGTATTAAACAACATTATTAAACAACATTATTTGGCACAATTTAATTAGTTTAATAATACTACACTAATTTATATTATATTACTAGAAAAAATTTATTATAAAAATATCATATAATATATATTACAATAATAATACTATTATAGTATAAAGTTTATATATCATAAGCATATAATAGGGTCATTCCATATAAGATGAGCCAAGCCTTCTCTTGTGACAATGTTTTATTTTCTTGAAATGTATACCTTCTGTAGGTTTTATGGACTAAAAAGATTTCTTCAGAATTTCAACTTAATAACAAATAAATTTTTCTTTCAAAATAATTTCAAATATTAAAGACATAGTCTATTTTGGGAAACTTGTTGGTCAATTTACGGACAGAAAATTGACAGGATGTACAGTTAATTCAAAATTTGACATTTTTAGGTATGCGTCTTCAATACAAGAAGTATAAATGCAGCATAAACAAATTTGGTGTTTTTTGTGGTGCTGAGATATCTGAACAAAATAGCATTATAAAACTCAAAATTCACTATTTTGAATTTGTTTTATAGCCAATATCTCTATGAGGGATCAATTTCCATTTTTCCGATTTCCAAATAATTCCTCAAACTAACCTAGAATATTTTTATGATAATAAAAGTTTAATTTAAAAAAATAATTCATGCAGTTTAAAATGATTTAATATTTATATTAAATCATTTTTCATAATCAAGAAAATAATTGAAGAAACTAACTTAGATAAAAATTAATATTACTAAAGTCAAAAGTACTTTGCATTGCTATGAAAAGATAGCAGAATTAAAACGAATTTTTTAGATAGTAAACCTGATTGCCCAAATCCGCAAATATCTTGCAAACAACCCAGAAGCTGCCCAAAACAAGAAGGATACGTTAAATCTAACAAATAATAAACAGCCATCAAAATGACATTATATATATTATAACTATATATATATATATATATATATATATATATATATATATATATATATATATATATATATATATATATATATATATATATATATATATATAATATATATATGTATATAATATATATAATATATATATATGTATATATATATATATATATATATATATATATATATATATATATATATTATATACATATATAATATATGTATATATATATATAAATATATATATATATATATATATATATATATATATATATATGTATGTATGTATGTATTACATATATATATATTGAAAGATATATTGAAACAGAAAAACTTAGAAAGATGTTCAAGACCGTGTATGTTGAAGAATGGGCATTATGAGAAATGTCCAACCCATGCAAGCACGGAAACAACGCCGATAATATATATATATATATATATATATATATATATATATATATATATATATATATATATATATATATTTATATATATATATATATATATATTATATGTATATATATATGTATATATATATATATATATATATATATATATATATATTATATACTATATATATATATATATATTATATATATATATATATATATATATATATATATATATATATATATATATATATATATATATATATATATATATATATAAATATATATATATATATATATAAATATATATATATATATATATATATATATATATATATATATATATATATATATATATATATATATATATAATATATATATATATATATTTATAATATATATAATATATATTATATACATATTATAATATAGATATATATATATATATATATATATATATATAT